AGGGATGATGCTAAAGTCTGTTAGTTTATTTTAGAATATAGTTGTCAATGTTTATACCCTATATTTGCTTTGGGAGGTTTGTGGGGGGGGGAGGTTGGGGGGAGATGGGTTCGCGGGGGGAGGTATGTATCTGTAAAAAAAAATTAAACTTTTAATAAAAAAAAACAAAAACAAAGTCAATAGGGAATTCACTTAGCAACTGTGTTACTAATTTAACAAGTGCAGCGATTCACTTAACAACTGTGGCAAGAAAGAGCGTAAAATGGGGGCAAAATTCATTTAACAAATGGCTCGATTAGCAACAGAAATTTGGGGCTCGGGGTCATAGGTCGAGGACTACCCGTATTGCACTCTGGCCATGTTTTTGGAAATTCAGTCTAGGAGTTGGATCTTTTCCTAAATTCAGATTTTCTTAAAACTGGAAGGAGTTATTAAGCCCATGGAGTCTAAGTCCCTGCTCAGTGCAGGAATCCAAATTAGCCATCCCTAACAGATGGTTATTTAGCTTCTGCTTAAAGATACTAAGTGAAAAGGAATTCTCCAGCTCTCCAAGCAACTGCTTCACAGCCCAGCTACTCATCATTTACGATTTTTTTTTTAAATCATCAAGAGGAATCTGCCTTCTATGTCTTTCACTCTGAAATGGAGAAATTTTGAGTGACATCTTTTCAGGTGTTTGAATACTGCTAAGAAAGTGCCTCCTTCCTCGCCCACAATCCTCCCCCATATGAATAACCATACTTGACTCCACCTCACTTCTTTAGTCTTCATTTCTAGTCCCCGATCATCCTTCACACCTTACTCTGGACTTCTTCCAATCTTAAAGTATAATGTCAAAAAATGGGCACAGTATTGAAAGTTGTGTCTGATCAATATCAAATAAATTACAGCTATTAACTTCTTGTGATGTAGAACATATTCTGCCCCTGGGCACCAATTTTGTAACCATAACTCACTGCTGATTTCTAGTTTGAATATATTCCTTTTAAATATATTTTGTTATTTTTATTTACTTGTAGTCCACCTTTATTATTTTACTCAAATATGTCCAACACACCTTTTTCCTTGTTTTACCACAACAAAAACCCTGTGAAGTGGGATGGACTGTGAGATACTGACTTGCCCAAAGTCGTCCAACTGGTCTACTATTGAATATCCAATTATTATCCAAGTGGCTTACTACTGAATATCCAATTATTCCAAGCCAGCTATCTCATAACCTACACCTGTGCACTGATTTTGTTTCCTAAGTGAAGAACTTAGTGTTTGTTTTTGTTAAATTTCATTTTATTACTTTTAACCCATTTTATTAATCCATCAAGTTCAGTTTGAATTTTTTCTTTTATAGTGGTATTAGCTATCCCACTCAGTTTTGTGTCATTGGCATATTTGTTAAGCATTCTCTCCACTTTTCAACTAGGTCTGTAATAAAAAATATTGAAACGAAGAGGCCACAGAATTGTATCCTACGGTATATTACTTGATGCTATTCCCCATTTTAATAAGAGATGATTGATTAGAATACTCAGCATGATTTTCGGCCCAACTATCTAGATCATACTTCTCTAGTTTGTTAATTGTGGAAAGAAATTATTTCATCTTCTACATCATTAGAAACATGAACTGTCTTGCTTTTGAATCTGATTATAAATCTACTACTGCAAATTTATGCCCACTTAATACAGATTAATTCCACTAAACTTAATGAGACGCCACAATGAACATGCCTTGCATATGTACAAAGAAAAGAAGTAAAAGCAGTACCTTACTATTTCAATAAAACCAAGAATTTTCTATCAACTCAGCCTGAAATGTTGGAGCCTATTTCTTATCTCTTCACCTTTTTGTATCTCTCAAATGCAGATACTCTGCCTATTGTCAAGGTGTGTCTCTAATAGTTTTGTAAACATGAGCTTGTATTGGATACAAGCATAAAGTGGTACAATGGGGACTATAGTGGGGACTATTGCCTTCTTCAGCTTGTTTCAACTGTCCAATATAGCTTATAATTCTAGGATTTTCTAATTATCTTCCATCCAAATATATTTGGACTCTAAAATATATTAATTGGGTTTAGTGATGGTTCCCCGCGTCAGCTAGATATCAGTTATGGGTGGCTCATTTAAACCTATATGCCAGAAGCACAATAAAACTTTTATCTAAAGCAAATTTACATTGTTCTAATCAAGCATACTGTTACCTGCAGTGGCCACTCAAAAGTAAAGTATGCAGGCAAAGTTATTGTTTGTTTTCGGGTATCTTCAAGTCTGTGATGAGTCTTGGCTGGTTAAGTCCCTGCTGTTTCCTTGGCAAGATGTTGAAAGTGGTTTGTCCTTGCCTGCTTTCTGAGGCTGAGAGAAAGTGACTGACCCCTAGTCACCCATCTGGTTTTGTGCCTAAAGTGGGATTAAGAATTTACAGTCTCCCACTGATCTAGAAACTGTAGAGCTAACATAACATTTCAAACAGATATTATATTAAGGTAATTATATTTCTATAGTGCCTGGTAGACTTTAGAAATCAGTTAGAAACAAAAACAATATTGAATTCATTCAAAACAGCATTTTTATCTGAATTAGTGTTAGAGGGAGGGAAGGAAAATCTCTCTCTCTCTCTCTCTCTCTCTCTCTCTCTCNACGCACGCATGTGCAATAGCACGCACACACACAATTTTGGCACGCCTTTACAAAAAGGCTAGCCTTCACTGCCCCAGAATCTAGTTTGGAATTTTTAACACAATGAAAGAATTCAGGGTGATGTGGATTCTCTCAGGAGGGAGAAATTCTAGAATCACCTGTGGTGTAATTGCCTAGAAATATTCTTTTCACATTTTCCTAAATTCACATTTTCACTGGGTATAAGTTAGGCAAATGTTAGTGGTTTGGACTAAAAAGACCTATGTAGGAATTGCTAGGATCGAATTGTTAGTATCCCGGTTCCAAGAGACAACTAATTGAAAGTTCACATTAAAATAGGGCTGCACTCTGTTTTATCTTCACAGATCATTTTAGTTCTTTAGCTTCTAGGCTGGAGCTATATTTACAAGTGCTTCAGCTATAAGTTGCTCTGCCTAGCAATTCTGTTTAACCAGCTGCTCAGCATTAAGTTTTCAGAATAGTATTTTCATACAAGAACTGCTCACATTAGAAGAAATTAAGAGAAATACATCTCTTTTCCACAGTAAAATGCCAAAGCGGCAAAAAAAGAGAGTTTTTTTTTCATTGCAAGTTTCAAGATGAAAAGTAGCTGAGGACTAATAGCAATGTTAGATTTTGGTTGATTAAGGCTAGTCAGTTTGACACAGCAGCACGTTATCATCTTCCCTACCTCATTTTTACCCATATTGCCCTTCTTTTTAAATTGTAAAAAAACATAGGCACCAACAGGTATCCTAATTAAGCCTATCCTTTGCTGATAAGAGAGAAAAATTGCAAACACATTCTTATGACGATGACCCCAAAATCAGAAAAGCTGTTTAAGCTGCCTTGTCTTGCACGATGACTACCGAGTGTTGGGTGTTGGAGGAAGAGCCATCTTTGTCCTGCTCCATCTGGTTTTTGGGAATGTATCGAACCACAGCAGAGATAAGCTTTCCTTGGAAGTTCTTGCTCAGGAAGTTGTACAGGATGGGATTGACCACACAATGGAGAAGGCTGAAACAGTCTACGATGTCGTAGAAGAAGTACAGGAACTCAACTACAGAGCAGTGGAGGAACACGCTTGTCCCCTCAATGGTGAGGATTAGCAAAATTACGTGGAAAGGCAGCCAACTGATCAAGAAGACAATTATGTAAGCATAGATGAGGTAGCAGTTTTTTCTGCTCTCTGGCTTGTCACAACGCTTTATGTGTCTGGCGGTCAGTATGTTGAAGACTGCCATGATGAAGAATGGGATAATGAACCCAATTATGGCAACAAGGAGGTTGAGACCGAGGGCCCACTCGTTGTAGCTCTCCAGAGGGGCCATAAAGAAACACACTGGTTCAATGCTCTCGATTAACTCCATGTGTACCACTTCTGGCAAAGGGAGGATGGCAGCAAAGGCCCATATGCAGCAGCAGGTGATCCGTCGCACACAATGTTGGCGTTCGTGCCAGAAGTGGGAGGAAGTTGTCAGGGACACATACCGATCAATGCTGAGGCAGGTGAGAAAGAAAATACTGCTGTACATGTTGGCAAAGTAAAAATAGTGGGTGAAGCGACAGAGGAAATCTCCCCAAAGCCACGTGTAATCAAGCACGACTTCCAACATCCAGACTGGTAAGGAGAGGACCACCCCCAGGTCTGCAAGGGCCATGTTGAAAATGTATAGGTTGACCAAGTTCCGGTGGTTTCGGGTCTGCCAGTTGACCCATATGACCAAGAGATTCTCCACCAATCCCACCACAAAGATGATGAGATAGAGAACAAAGAGAAAGACCCGTTTAATGCCATCATCTAGTTCCCAATGACAATTTTCTAATGTGTAGTTGAAGGCGTACAAGAGTTCCGTCAAGTTGTGGTAGGCTTCATTGAAAGGGGGGAGGGTCGCTGGCTCTCCCATTTTGAGGGGAAAAGATAAACTGCAAAAAAAGAAGAAGAAGGAAATGTGAAATTAGAATGTATTCTTCCCCTGAACCAAGATAATTTATATCAGGAATCTGATTTTTCTTTTAAATAGCTATGGGTTTTAAATCTGTGCAGGCTTCAGATTTGGGACGACTCAACAGGACACCCATTTTTTGTTTTGCGATTTGGCCACTGTTGCATATAACGTATAGTATTTATCAAATACATTGATCAGTCACCAGAATATAATCTGACAGCAAACAGCACTCCATACTGACACTGAGGATGTTACCTAGTTTGGGTAATGAAACCTCTCAGTGGTGTGTTCTGGCAGGCACTACTGCCAGCTTGCTCGTGTGTGCACCACACGTCTGTGCACTTGATGCGCGCGCATGGGCAGCACAATTTAAATTGTTCTGCACATGGGCAGAACCAAAAAAACAAGATGGCGCCACTCAGAGAACCGGTTTGGGTGTGTGGCAGGCCTGGGTCACTGTCAGTTCCAGCGATTTAGGCCGCCAAACCATCACCGGTTCGGCCAAATTGGTCAGAATCGGTAGGAACCCACCACTGAAACATCTGCAATAAAACAAGCAAGCTCAGAGAGCACCAAGGACCCCTCATTTCAACCATGAGCTACAAATATTCTCATTATTGGTACATTGATCAGCCTCTAGTCCAGTGGTTCCCAATGTGGGGCCCAGGCCCCACAGGTGGACAATTTAATTTTTAACGGGGGAAATTTGAACCTTGTTTAAACCTAGTTAATGGCCTTTTAGGCTTCCTCTGCATGAGTAGAGTTCACTTTTTGAGTAAAGTAAGAATTATATGTCACAGGTCAGGCACCAGGACTTTAGAGATGCTTAGGTAAGGCATGGCCAAAAACAAATTGGGAACCACTGCTCCAGTCAGACCTCCTGCCCTGATCTTATCCCTTCCCTTATGTTTCTTCAACTCCCAAACTTGATCAGCAGCTCAATCCCAAATACAACAATTGGTTCACAGGAGAATCTGACACAAAGAATCAGAGTAACAGAAACAAACATGTTGACTCTGAACTAGAGTTTTGTGTTGCAATTTAAAGAACAGGAAAAGGCAAATATCTGACAGGCCTACCAGGAGTCTCAATGAGATCAATGTGGTCTACAGAATGTTGTGGGGTTATCATAGGTTAGTGAGAGAGCCTATTTATTCAGTTTTAAAAATCCTTTTATACATCCTTTTAAGTAACTCAAGGTGGCAATCATGCTTGGTGCTCCTCCTATTTTCCCCACAACAATTTCCCTGTGAAGTGGATTGGGCTGAGGGTGACTGGCTTAAAGCCACTCAGCTGGTTTTAATGCCTTAGGTGGGGCTAGAACTCACAGTCTCCTGGTTTCTGGGCCAGCACTTTAACCACTACCCCACTGACTTTCTATGCTTTCTCTATGCTCCATGTACCTTAATGTATCTACTTCCATCCATTGGAGGAATTCAATTTTTTTTACTATTGGCTCTGTGGGCATGAGTTGGTGGGCGTGGCATGGCTTGGTAGGCGTGGATAGCTCGGTGGGCATGGCAGGGGAAGGATACTATAAAATCCGCATTTCCTCCTGATCAGCTGAGACTCAGGAGACAGAGAATAGATGGGGGTGGGGCCAGTCAGAGGTGGTATTTATCGGTTCTCTGAAATACTCAAAATTTCTGCGACCAGTTCTCCAGAATGGGTCAGAACCTGCTGAATACCACCTCTGCTTCCATCCTTAGAATCTCCAGAGAATGAATTTATTTGGAAATGATAAAGTTACCAGCAATAAAATATCGTTAGAGCTTTGCATTGTCTCAGATAGGGTTGCTACTTTGTTTTCCTGGTTAGGTTCCTGTATCTTTATCTTTGCAATAATGCACATATTCAAGGAACACAGATTCTTTTACCAATCAAGTTTTAACAACATTAAAAAGGCAGTTGTATGTTGGGCTACTCAACTTCTCCAGTGATAAGGTGGAGTTGCCTGTTTTCCATGCCAGTATTCATTGAATATGAGAAGAGTGCATTAATGGAGCTTTAGAAATGAGCAGATTCCATTTTTCAGTTTTGGAGTTGTGGAGAGGGAGAGACACAAAGGCCACATGAAAGAAATCCAAAAGTAAGACCAGTTTTGTGGGAGATACCTGTATACTTAAGAAAGGATCTGGCACTGTCCATACAGAAGAATATTTAAAAGTAATCATTAAAAAAAATCCTTTCCACTATGCATTTTACCACTAATGGCTAAACTACATGTATGATATTTGGATTGGATCTAAGTTAATAGGGGCAATTTCAGACAAAGACATATAACACAGAGTAAAGTCACAAGGATGATTCTGTATATGTACATGCAAACAATTTATTTTATTTCCTTTTTGTGGAGAAATGGCAGGGTTTTTGTTATTGCAGGTTCTGTAGCAGTGCAAAGGCAAAGAATGATCCCCCCCCCCACTAATCTTTGCTTAGCATTGTAAATTTGACTTTTTGGGGGGCCATTGATTTTCTGGTGTGACATGATAGCAGGGTTCCAATATCTCAGGGGCTGCCACAGAGAAGAAGGGGGGGGGGTCAACATATTCTCCAAAGCACCTGAAGATAGGACAAGAAGCAATGGGTGGAAACCAGTAAAAGAGAGAAGCAACTTAGAACTGAGGAGAACTTTCCTGACAGTGAGAACAATTAGTAAGTGGAACGACTTGCCTCCAGAAGTTGTGAATGCTTCAATACTGGAAATTTTTAAGAAGGGATTGGATAACCATTTGTCTGAGTAGAGTTTCCTGCCTAAGGAGGAGGTCGGGCTAGGACACCACCAAGGTCCCTTTCAACTCTGTTACTATCATTCTAATCTTCAAACTGTTTTTGAAGAACTAGAGCAGGGGTTCTCAAACTATGGCCCGCTGAAGCCATTAATTAATACTGCCTGTGTGGAACCATGAGGCTGCCCTGCCTATATTGTCCCACCTAACTGCTGGCCCCCACCTGCCTTCTGGAGGCTGAGGAGACCAAAAATGCGATGCACAGATGCCTTGAGAGCCCCAAAACAGGCCCATTTCTGGGCGGCTGACTGGTACTGGAGGCTGAGGAGACCAAAAACGGGACACGCAGAGGCCTCAGGCCAGAAACGGGCACATTTTTGGTCTCCCTGGCCTCCAGAGACAGAGAGGGAGGCAGGGAGAGAGGAAGAGGGGGGGGGAGAGACAACACATGCACAAATAGAAGTCCCTCATACACCCCCCAAGTCAGCCACATTTTTTCAGTAACATGCTTTCCACTCCCAGGAGCATAACAAATTAAAGTTGAATTTGTGTGTATTGTTTAATGGACATCTGTATTGGCCATGCTCACTCAGTCACATGACCACCTAGCCACATCTACCCAGTCACATGATCACATAGCCACAGCGACCCAGTCACATGATCACGTAGCTACCCCCACCCAGCTGGTCCAGCTCCCCAACAGTCTGAGGGACCGTGAATTGGCCCCTTGTTTAAAAAGTTTGAGAACCCTTGAATTAGAAATAGTGAAAATGTGCTAACTTAGCCTTGACACAAAGACTATAAATTAAAATAAAACTGAACACTGTTGAAATGCCATCTTTTCTATGAAGGAATGGTATGAAATGCAGCATGGTAAAAAGCCGTCAGGTTTATATCAAATAATGTCCACCACATTAACAAAGCTCCTCCAATGTGCTGGGAGAAGCTGTAAACAAGCTGGGAAACAATTGTGGCATTCTGAAGAAGATGATTAGCTGCATGCACTCTTAAGAGTGGTGGACTGGGAAATCCTTGATTAATACCCTCCATTAGCGATTAAAAGATCGCTGGATGGTCTCATGTCAGGAACAACTGTCAGCCAAAGTTGATATGAAAATAAGATGGGAACAGCGAGCTGCTTTATTCACCCAGTTCACTTTGAATTCAGAGAAAAGCCTATCAAGAAACAAATATAGTTNTAAGGGGGAATGAAAAGATTAGAGCAGGGTGTCAAATGCGCACTGTCATGGCAGTGTCACATGACGTATTGGGACCTTTTTCCCCTTTACTAAGGCGGGCTTGGGCGTGGCCAGCATGTGACACATCAGGCTCGCGGGCAGGGAGTTTGAGAGCCCTGGATTAGAGTTTTTGTATGACCTTCAAGCAGGAAACTAAATACACTGTTTTTACTTTTTGTTTAGAGTGAGTCAGAAGTTTTCTTAACAGTGGCACTTATTTTTACACTTTACAGATTATAGTATTTGTTTCATTGAAAATGCCGGTCCTATTTGCCCCTGCTACTATGTCAGATTGTGACTTGAGAAATATAATTGCGCTGGTATTACAGATGTAACCTTTCTAAAGAATTAAGGCCAATTTGAATATATTTTCATCACATTTAGTTGTATGCCTAACTTTTTCTCTACAGAATTAAATTTTATTAACAGCAAAACAAACAATTACTTTTAAATAAACTTCTCAGAGGTTCCAGTGGCACTGATTGGTTAATGTTGGCTGCATTACCAAAGGGCAGCCTGATTCATTCCTGGAACATTGGCAGTTTTAAAAATGTTTCCAATATTTGCATAGCATTTTCATTTTCATAGGTGATAAAAATTATAATTCAGTTTATAGGGAGGAACTATATTGGTAGAAGAAAGTGTGGCTGCTCAAATGAAGGATCTGAGCCGTGGTGGCGCAGTGGCTAGATGGAGTATTGCAGGCTACTTTTGCAGATTACCATCTGCCAGCAGTTTGGCAGATCAAATCTCACCAAGCTCAAGGTTGTCTCAGCCTTCCATCCTTCAGGGGTGGATAAAACGAGGACCCAGATTATTGGGGGCAATATGGGGGTAAACTGCTTAGAGAGGACTGTAAAGCACTGTGAAGTGGTATGTAAGTCTAAGTGCTATTGCTATCTGTCAAAACATAGGAGCAGGGGCAAAACTACTAATTAAACAGCATTTATCTTGAATGATTGTTGGATGCACAAACTGTTGGAAGCAGGAATTGGGTTTTGGAAGAGGAA